CCCACCTTCTCTCCCCGAAAATTAATCCTGTTTCCACTACTAGACCAAGAGTTTTTTTTTTAATGAAAAAAATTTACTATTTTGATAGAAAATGATAAGAAATAATAATATTACATTATATATTACCATAGGAATTTTTTTTTTTTTTTTTTTAATGTAGTTCCCAGTTCTTTTATTTAATATCATAATGTACTCAAATTTCACTTTTATAATATTATAAAACCTTTTTTTTCCTTCTTTTTTTTTTATGGACGAGGTAGTGTATAACGATTATTTTCCATGCATTTTCGAGTCCCTTCCACAGATAATTCCATGGTAATTGATTTGATATTACTTAATTTGTACACTATAAATGGTATATTGATCAATTTTCTGTATAATACTCCCGTGGACTTCGCTGTAAAGGATATTGCTGAATATAAAACACTTTTCGTCCCTCATCCTAATCCCAATATATGCTAGCAGTTTTGTAGCGAATATAAATATGCAAATTCACTTAGCTCTAGACTTTATCTCCTCTCGGTTCGAGAAATGAGGTATTGAACGAAAGAAAAAAAAAACCGAAAGCAAATCAATAAATTCTATTTTCGCTGTTTGTGACCTAGGATATTTCCATCGTACTTATTATATGTTTCAACGGACAATTTCTCTAAATAACCCAAAATATTTACTCTACAATAATATCCTCATTGCATTTAATCAACGACTTGCAGACTTGCAAGAGTAGCATAATATTATATAATATATATCCATAAGAAACAAATATACGCATTGAACGGTAAAAACAGATCATTACGCTATACCTTCCAACACACTAATGAATTAGAGAGAGTATCTTATTCGCGTGAATATTCTTGCATAAACTTACTGGATTTACACATTTTGCAATATTATTGTGCGATTCCTCAGAGAAACTGCTTTTGTCAAAAACAAATATATGTATAAACATTAGACTTACGAAATTTACATCTAAACTACAATATTATAAATAAAAATGAATATATTCTACATCAGTCTCGCTGAATCATTAAAGAAACCATTTTTAATTCAATTACAGCAAAAATACCAAATCGAAAATAATGAAATCATTATTACCGTAAACTTTCCCGTATTTTCTATACAATTTTTCCGATTTTTAACAATTATTACGAAAACTATTTGGAAAATAAAAAAATAATTATCAAATGCATTTAGATCAAAAGTTCTAAAATATATTGCAAATTCTTGTCATTTTTTGATTGGAGCAAGATGTTCGATAAATTTCTCACTCCATTCAGAATCATAAAAAATTCACATCGTAATAAAATCAATTAATTCATCACTGCTCTTAGAATATATAAAGAAGATTAGATAACAGTGCACAACATTTAATTGTAAAACAAAAAAAAATGAAGAATTTGTTTTACAAATATTGTAAATGACGTGACGTATCAAATTAAAATTATTATTAAAACAAGTGCATATTAATACAATTGTTTTTTTTTTTTTATTAACAGTGCAGTAGAAAAATATGTATATTTAATATTATAACTATACCCAAAATTGTTTTGAATAATATCTGTCTCTTTAAAAATAATTTAAGTTGATAAAAAAGTTTATTGATCAGATAATTACGAAATATGTTGATGAACAGTTTCTATAATATTATTAAATCAGATCTTTTAAACAAGTGTGGGAAATTAATCAATTTTAATATTTATGGGTAGCTCCTCATCATTGAACGACATTCCGGTTATAATAATAGTTGAAACAAGTTTTATAAGGTTGTAAATTATTATAATTCGCGTAATAACAGAAACTTTGAAAAGTTTGAGGGATACCGCGCGTGACAGAATAAAATCATATACAGTCATATACGTAGGTACTGTATGGAACTTCAGACTCGTATAAAATGTCTGTAGGTCTTACTACAAGGAGAATAGGGCGATAAATAATACATATTATTAATTATATACCTTAAATGCAGCGCGTCTTTACCAAATAAACCGTGTGGTATTTGTGAATGTATGTTATTTTTTCATTATATTAAAAATGTTATACTTATCAACACGTTTTGAAAAATATTAAACTACGAAATGCAATGTTGTTCTTTGTATTATTAATTTTACGTAAGGGCAAGTGTGTATACATGTAGCTAACAAGGCAAAATCATTGCTGAAGTTGGTTCTACCTATATAGCGATTTTTCATATATTAAAAATTTAACTTTTTATTGAATAAAAAATCATAATATACACAATAAAATATACGCAGTACGATCGCGAAAATTTAATCTCGCCAGTATGATCATAAAATAGAAAAACTGCATGCTTTATATATGATATTATGATAAACATGTATCTACCCATGCTAAATTCTGTATATTTAAACGTTTTTGCAGCGTTAACAAAAAGACGACAGTGTTTGCATTCAAATACGGATAGTACAATCTTTTACCACCTTTTTTTTTTTTTTTATTTAAATTTTAATATTTTTATTATATCTTTTCCGTTGGCAAAATTACGACAACCGCTATGTAAGAGAGATTTGTAGATATTTGCGAGAAACGTTAAATGAAATGTTAATATTATTATTTTTTTTTTTTCCATTAATCAGCTGACAAAGGTTTATTATTTCAAAGTAAAACGTAATTGAGTTTTTACTGTATGATAAAATATAAAGGTATATATCATTCTCGGGGCTTCAAGAAAACTAAAAATATGATAGTGATATTCTTTCGTTATGATTTTTCATCAAATGTTATTTGATTGAATAACCTAATATACCTAATATTTTCATGAATAGATTATTGAAAATTTATAACCACGACGTTGCACATTTAAATTGTTATTTTATTAGAGTTAATTAAACAAATTTACATTTCATTAAAAATAAAAATAAAATTGGAATTTGTTTGTTATCGTTCCGTTAGCATATCAAATTAAATTTATCACTTCACACTCATATTTGTTATTGCTTCACCATTATATATTATAGACTGGCTATTTATCCAGTACGACGTTGCCAGTGCCAAAAGAAATAATAGAAAAATTATCATCTACATCACCAACGTGACCCATAAATCAACAAAAATAATTTGATTTTTATACTTAACATAACGATAACTCTATGTAACCACCTGTCCACCCACCTCTCCCTTAGGGCTTAAGCTCTATTTAAATTCAGGGAAAAAATACGTCCTAGGATAATGGAGACGGGTGCAGCCACAGTTATAGGTATTTTTATATAAATCTGTTAGCAATAATTAACCATTACTGACGAAAAAACTATTCTGAGCGGAGTTCCGTTGATAGCAATGCTTTGTCAACAATTTATGTCATGTTATGGTAAAATAATTAAATAAGCATTATAAATTATCTTTAATAATATTTGTTTAATTTTATATCGATCAGTTTTCCTACATTTTTTTTTTCGATTTTTTAAATTTGCTGAAAAAACTCCTGAGAAAATTAACTCCTAAAACAACTTCATACACCTTTCAGAAAAGGTGCTACACTTAAATATCTGAGCAATTCATCTGATAGAAAAGTTACGCACAGATAAAAAAAAAAAAAATAAACATCTTTTGCTAAATCATAAGCTTCTTGGTTTGCTGGGAAAACTCTGAAAAAAAAAACGATAAATGACCTCCTTAAAGTACTTCCCCAGTGAAATTCCCTTTTAGAAAAATTGCTTTCATTAAAAGTTGGAATGAAATTGCTGGTATAAAAATTGTCCATAGGAAAAAAAAAAGACCATCATATTTTTAGCTAGTACGTACATTTCTAATACCTATATTTTTTTTCGGTTTTTCACATTTATTGAGAAAACTACGGGAAAAATCAATAAACGACTGTCTTAAAGTGCCTCCCACATAAATTTTAATTCAGAAAAGGAACTACAAATTTTTTGCTAGAAAAATTGTCAATTGATGAAAAAAAAAATAAATATTTTTATAAAACCATAAGCTTCTTCGCTCTACTTAGATTCTAGAAATAGCCTATTCCAGGACAAGAAATATATTCAAGAAAAGTTTAAGCTAAATCAGTTTAGTAGCTTCGGCAAGACGTTACAACAAACATATGAGTACATTCATCCGAATAAACTTTCACATTTATAATATTAATATGATAAATATTTCTTTCATCCTTAGTGATATCAAGAATATCAGATAAAATTTTTAAGTCAATTCATATTGGAATATAATGTTATGAACAAAGTAGGAAATTCGGAAATTTCGATATAATACCCAAACATTTTGGACAGTGTAAAAATGATACCTAACTTCAAACTATAAATTATAAATTTTCGTAAAAACTATTACATAATATTATAGATCGACTTGGAATTCTCGAGCTTTTAAATTTTAATAATTTTTAATTTTAATTTTAATACGTACGATTTTATTTAAAATAAATAATTTTGTGTTAATCATTTTTGTAGTGTTGAGAAATTTAATTTAATAACTTAAAGCCATTAGAAGGGCATTTTAAAACTGCTCTATCATTTTTAATTTTTAATTGTTTAAAGTTCTTTTTTTTCTAAGGCTTTTTTGGTGCGTTTTTAAGCGCCTTTTTGTGGATTATAAAAGAATATAAATCCGGTTTATTCTTATGTCTGTAGGCAATTCCACCAACAATTTAGATTTATTTAATACTACATTATTCAATTTGTTAAATATTTGATCTAATTAGCTAACTCTTGTTTTTTATTTTTTTTCCCTCGTATCACTCTTTCTCTCTTTCTCCTATCTATGTTTATCGCCCAATTGTCCTCTTAATTAATTATGTGTTTCATATTATCACATTATATTTTTATATTTTTAAGTGTACATAGTTATTTAATATTTGCATATTATTTTTGGTCGTTTTATTTTTCTATAAACCTATTACTTATATAACATTATGTATATATTATACTATACATACATACATATATTTATATATACTACTGTTATCAACTTTATTTTATGCAATTGGAATTTATATTTGCGATAAAGAATTATTGTTGTTATTATATACTGACGAGACAGTACGAGAGTGTCGGGAGTATGTATACCTACTCCGAGCGGGTTCATGTAAGTAAAGTGAATTTAATATACCTATAGGCGCACACTTGTACCGAATGCTCTTCAATACCCGACAGATATAATAATGAAGTGCCATAAATAGGGCATTTGTTTGATGAAAACGATACCAATCTAATTTAGGAACAAATACAGCTAAAAGTTAAACATACCTATATTTATTTTGATGATTTTCCAACCTTTGTCAATTATAAAATTAAAATATTAATACTATTGCTACAGATTATTGTTGATATTATCGCGGTTCTTATACTAACACATCTAATATATATATATATGTATATATAAATATCTCGTGTAACAGTGTTTGTGGTGGCACTCTTCCGAAACGGCTCGACCGATTTTAATGAAATTTAAGTCGTCAAGTATTTTTCACCTTCCAACCCCCGCTCACCTTTTTTTATCGCAATTTTAGTGTTTTTGTATGAAGTCACGTGGTAATGAGATGGTGGTAATTCGGACGACTAGTCTCCTTGTCGTGTAATTAGGCTATCGGCTACAAGTTATAATTTATAAAAATACGGACATACATCCCACGTGGGTGGACCACTGTTTTAGGTAAAAAGTTGGAAAGGTAGAGGGGAAATATAATGTATATCTGTATCCAACGATTGACCATTGCTAAATCACTCGAATAGTATCAAAATGTACTCAAGTACCACCCAGTCAGATTACCTATTCCTATTCAAAATTTCTATCATATTATATTGGGAAAAAATTGTTGGTAGAAAAGTTGTCCACAGAAAATGTTTGGAAAATCTACAATAATGTTATTTTTTTTTTCTGTGGACAAATTTTCAATACACGAGAAAAACGGGAAAATGTACCTACGAAATGTATTATTTTCAAATCGTCAATATTACGACCTTTCAAAACATGTATAACTGAATTCCACTTAAAATCGTTTTTCGTTAGTAAAGATTAATCGTTGCGTACGGATATACACTAAATTCCCCTTTATATCATACATTCCCAACATTTCACCTACAACAGTGGCCCACGAAGTATGTCCGTTTGTTTATTCATATAGATTAACAATAGAGTTATTAATTTTATATTATTGTCGACTAGAATGTATAAAAGGAATGTTGTGCCGTCTGCGAGTGACGACTATAATACAGTACACGCGCTCTATCGAATTTCTCTACTTTCTGATAGGTTGGTTTAGACTTCCCTCCCTTTAAAATCAACCCCCCCCCCAAAAAAAAAAAAAAATTCGACGTTAAGATATATTTGATATGAATATCATGAAAAAATTTCACAATAGAACACTTTTAATCCGCCGAAGGTGGCTTTTCATTTAATTTTGACACGGTCAAAATCAAAAATTATTATGGGTAAAAAAAAATAATATTACAAATTAGCACGGGCAAAAATAATAAGTACAGTAGAAAATACCGTTTCATTAAATTAAGGTAGGTCCCAGAAATATGATATTTTCATATCTTTCTTTATAAAATTCAGAGCCGCTTTCAACGGGTGGCCGGGACAGCTAGTAGTTCTATAATAATAATTAGGTATTTTTATCTTTAATAATTATAACTTGACAGCGTGTAGTGTTTTTTTTTTTTTTAAATGTTTAATTTGAATTAGGAAAATGTGTACATTATTTTATTTGATCTACCCAATCAGACTTGGCCCCTGTAAACAATGTAAATTTTTTCCTTCTTTCCGAACAAAATCATCATTAATTTTATAATATACAGGGTATTACAATGCTTAATTTTCCTACTTCGGCAATAACATAGCATTATAATTTATTAAATGAAATAGAATTTCATAATGTGTACGTAACTTCGTATTAATGAATAATAATTGTATATTACGAATTTCCACTGAAGTGCTATTTACCTATATAGTTGAGAATCAACGAAATAGAGCTAAACATAGTTAAACGAAAATCCCTTGATAAATAAAACTTTTTTTTTTTTTAAACCAATTCAATTTGACCTAATTTTAAACAATAAATCTAAAAATTTAACTCTAAATATTTAGAACGCAATAAGACTTCAATGGAGCTTGAAAATATTAATAGCTACGGAGGTCTTATACGTTACACAACAAAAATATAACCCTGAATTCTATATAAATTCGGAGAATTTCAATTGTAATTTAAAAAATAGGAAAAAATAACATTACTTTGTCAATTTAATAGAAGTATATTAGTTATTAATTCCAAAAATTCTTATTCTAGTCGACTAAAAATAAAAAATAAGAAATATTTCACACCGTTTTTGTGCCACTGGGTTAAGGATAAAGTTGGAAACGTTAAATATATTATATAGGGTAATTTAGTTTTTATAAACTCTCAACCATGAATCATTGCTAACGAAAAATTATTCTGAGCAGAGTTCAAGTTCGGTAAAAATATATTATGATCAACTTGCGACCAGCTTATTAGTAGGGACCGATAAGTGGTGCCACCGAAGTAGGACACTACGACGACGACTACCTAGCCGAGCCCGGTGACGTAACCAAGCGGTTACTAACCGGCGGAGCCAGGGAGATTTGTAAATTTGTTTAATGTTAAACATGTGAACCGTGTTAAGTGTATTTATATGACATAGAAACTAGACACGGGGATTAGATTGTATATTTGAAAGCCAACCAGAGTAATGAATAAAATAAAGATTGGTAAGGTACCTAAATAAATAAATAACATTAAAATGTTAAAATAAAAAAAAATAGAAACGGACATGTAAATGGGTAACTTGCAGGTGGTTATCATTATGTAACAAAAAATAACGGGGGTATAAATTGAACATAAACAAATTAAAATGAACAAAAAAATAGAAAAAACAATAGAAAAACAAATATGTTGTACATCCTCATATAGGACGACAAAAATTAGAAATCCTATTAGGTACTTATGGTAGATTGACCGTCATCACTGTGTGGTCGGATTGTCGTGGACCACTATGTAGATTTACACCGCCATTCTGTTGGATCGGGTGGTCATGGAAAAAAAAAATAGGTGTTTTTTATTTCACTGTACGAAGTGGGCTTATGTCTTCGTTGGCAGTTGATAGAAGAAAAAAATTTTGTACAGCGAGGCAACAGTGGTCTCGGAGCCGTTTGTTATCGTCGTTGTCGTCGCCTTATCGCCAGTGCTGATTATTTTATATTTTTACATAACAACTTATGGCAATTTATAAGGGAAATCCAAGTGATCATAGGCAGTGCGGCAGAATTAGAATTTCGACGACGCACTGGGAAAGTGATCGGTCTATGGACCGTTGGCGACTGTGCGCTCATTATTTGTATGATTATTTTTATAAAAGCGTTCAAAATTCCGAGATGTTATAAACTTCAATTGAAATTTGTATTATTTCGTTATTTCAAAATAAATTACAATTAGCCACCTTTCTAAATATTTTAGCGCTTTCGTTGACCAAAGTTTTATTCACATAAATTGGAAAATAGTGCGTGAAATGTCATAATTTCTTTAAAATTTAAACGCTTATAAATAAATATAATCGTATGTATAACTGTTCGATATTTTTATAGTACTTATGTTGAACCTTTTATAAAATATGTGGGCATTTTTAGGAAGCGAAAACCTTCTTATCCACATAAAACTAAAGAAAATCTAATAAAACATGACATTTTCCATGTACCACTTACATCAAATCTACCTATATAATAAATGTCAGTACTTCACACACAATGAATATAATCAGTCGTACAAATATTATTTGCATTTTTATGAACTCAAAACTCAAGTACGTGTAGACATAATTTTCAACCCGAAATCAGCCATAGTGTTTTTATTTAACTTAATACATTTTTTCATCTATTCCTGGACGAGTAGTTTTTGTGTATAAATAGGATAAATTTGTGAATATCACCCGAAAGTACTCTCGTAATTCGAATCGAGGATTATTAACCGCTTTAATTAATTTTCTCTTAAGTGTCGTCCGTTGAACTTATTAATGAACTTATTAATGAACTAATTACACGGTCACCGAAATTTCCTCTCAAAAACGTGTTTTATATTAGATATTTATTATACTGTTTTCACCTCAACTGTTCGTTTAGCAATAAAATATATTATCACGGTAATAGCTATATACTGACTGAGTATATAATTTTGTGTATATGTGTATTTGCTCGCAGCCATTGGACTTATCGCACTGAAATGATTTGTTGAGGCTCGAAAGATTTATATTATTAGGTACTGACTATAGCTGGTTTGTAATCTATTTACGGGTGACAATTGTACGTGCGAAAACGTCCACGTCTGCGTTTAACAGCATGCATGGTTAACATTATTGCGGTATAGAGTTTAAAAAAATCTGACATCAAGAACTTCGTTTGGATGTTTGCGTGCTAAATCCGAAATACGTATTGTATATTTATTAGTTATTATTATACGGTTTGATTCGCTGAAAATGTATCGTCGATAAATTATGTATGACGCTGCCATATATTTGTTCGCTCAAATAATTTAGTTATAATTTAAAAAAAAAAAAAAAAAAATGATTCAATCTAATTTATTGTTTTTATATTTTAGATTTTTTTTTGTGTCGAAAAATCTGTATTATTACAATAGTTTTACTAAGATGCCTTTTCGGAAAAAAATGTTTTGTGTTCATTTAAACGGTCCAGACAAATTGTTCAAATTCACATAAAAACATGTTGATTTTCGCCCAGTGGTATTTTTTTCGATAAATGTTTGGCGATTTAACCAGCAGCTTTCCTATAAAATTGGAAAAAAAAAACTAATAATAAATAACGATCAATCGGTACAGAGAAAAAACTAATAATTAGATATAATATAATCAGTTTATTGAGCTTCACTCAGAATAGTGTTTCAATGATTTCAATGATTTATCGTTTTTTTCAGTAAACATATATACATTTAATTATTATATATCTTTTACTTTCCTGACTTCTCACGTACTACAGTGCTCACGTTTGCAATATAGGTCGACTTTGTAGAATATTTATATTCATTTGGTGCAACTCTTGTCTATAAATTGTAGGCGTTTTAAATAAAATTATTTTTGTGGAACTTTAATATAATTTGCATAACTTATTTATATATGGATAGTAATAATAATAACAAAACAGTTTTTTTACAATTTTATATAGTTACCTTCTATGTTTAAACTGGTTAAATTAATATATTTTCATCTGGATA